AATATTAATATTTGGAGATTCTGTAAAATAATAAGTAGAATGGTATTACGGATAGAAAATTATATGCACTGTAATTTCAATATTATTATTTGCATAAATAAGGATGCATGTTTCATATACAAATGTATTAAGGTTAGGAAAGTTTAGTTTAATTTCAATCAATATGATTATTTGGAGATTCTGTAAAATAATAAATAGAATTGTATTACGGATAGGAAAGTATATGTATTGTAATTTTAAAATTGAAGGGTTTGTTAGTTTGCTTATATTTATATATTCATTTATTTATATTAAATATTTAATTTCATGTATGAAGATTGAAGTTTTTGCATCTATACTATATTGTTTTACTGGACATGCATGTGTAATGTTTTTTCTGGCTTGCCAACAAAATTGTCACTTAACCTGCAGATTTATAACACAGAAATAGGCAGGGAAAACCAAGAAGTGCAGAAGCTTCCTTTTCAGCTTCAACATACGCGGGGTAGCAGGTCAAATATTCCACAATAATATTGTGTTTGTTTCGCTTCATTAGTAAGTTGGTATTTTCCATACATTGTGGCAACAGGTACATTTATTCAACAATCAAGAGCTCTCTGGGGAGTCATCGTGGGGTAGTGTTTATACTTATGAATAGATTTTACAAAAACTAGAATCAAGAATAGAAGAAAGAAAAGGTCAAGATTAGTTGAATAGAAAGCAAGAACAGATGAATTTTGGTTTACACATAGTTGGGTGAAGATTAATTGTAAGTTAGGGTTTATATTCACCTAGGCATACAATCTATTCTTTTTCACTATATACGATTTTTGTTGATGTATTGCAACACTGTGAAGCTTTTGAGTTCAATTTGGTGAAGACATGAGAGCTTGCCTGAGATACTGAGAAGTGTTTACCGTGAACGTGCATGAGCTTTTGAGAAAGTTATGTGAGGTTGTGGAATTAAAGAGAATTTATTAATTTTACAGATTATTATTTGTTTTAGTTATTAAGAGTGAAGGGCGCGAACTGGAACTTGTATCCTAGTAAAACTACTGTTTACTTTTAGCAATGAATTATTTCACAACTCATTTGTAAAATAAAAGCTTTTATGTCGTTTATTATACACTACTGGAAATTATGGAATTTCCGACCACCTGAAGTGATCTTAAATCAAGTCAAAAGCCTTGTTCCGACCACTTTTGGTATCCGGAAAAACCTTTATTGCTATTTCCGACCGCTTTTTGAACTTTTTGGTATCAACTTAATTTAAGATCATTTTCAGGTGGTCAGAAATTTCATAATTTCCAGTAGTGATATAACGTCGTCTATTCTATATTTTTGTCGATGAAAATAAAATAAAATTTTGTAAATAAAATGTAATGAAATCTTAATTATTCATAAAATTCATAAATAATAATGATATGTGATATAACAGTCACAAAATGTGACATTTAACGATGTTTTTTTATAGCGTCGTGCTAAATGCCAGATTTCTTGTAGTGATTTTTTTATTTCTCATTCAATACTACCATCATGGGCTGATGATTACTCTTCTGTCCTTTTTTTTTTTCCTAACGTTTTCCACGCCCATTCATCAGTACACCTATCAATCATCTCATATGATTAGTCACCAATAATCAATCATATATAGGCTTCTATAGATTTCGAGAAAATACGTAAAATAATTCAATATATATAAAGGAATATGATATTTATGATATCCGTCCATAATAGAATTGAATTAAATTTTTGATAAAGTTGTACTCCGTATTAAGTATAGAGATAGAGTTGTGTGTATGATATGGTATCTCATCAAATAAAATTAAATATTTTATTCATTTTGAGAGATTGAAAATTATTTATGATATCCATCCATCGTACAATTGAATTAAATATTTGATAGAGTTGTTTTAGCTTTTAAGCTAAAGTATAGAGATAGAATTGTATAGGATATGGTGTTATTTGATATCTCATTTAATACAATTAATATTTTCTGATGAAATAATTATTTATGATGAAAATTGTACTACTTAGATAAAAAAAAATGTAATACTTATCAAAAACTCGATCAGTTTCACAAATGAAGGTCCGTAAAAGAGTCTCATATGAGAATTTACATTTATCTTTTGCATGACATTATACAATGGTTCACTTGAGGCACTCTCATTATTGATGTTTGCAAGCAAGAGTTGGTGAAGTATATTGGAAAAATTGGTTTCAAAAAAAAAAAGTATATTGGAAAAATTAGCAAGAAAATGACATTTAAGTGTTTTGAAGTAATATTTTAAGTGTGATTCACTTTTAATTTAAGTCTAGTCAAAATGAATTATTGTTTTTCTAAGTGGGTGTGTCCAATCTTTATCTAAATATATAGACAGGCAAAGGTTTTAACAAAATTTTAAAATATTTTTCCCTACTCTTCCATTCCCTTTTTTACACCTCTTGATGGCGAGGTCTGCTAAAATTAATTGTGATAATTTAAATGCCATCAATACTAATGGTTTCCATTATCCCTATACATAGTGGATTGGAATAATAGTTTTTATACACTGGAAAAATCTTTCTTTTCCCATGAAATTTTCCGGACTACTTTTGAGGAAATTATTTTTCGAATTAAATTTTGTTATTCCTATTCTAATCTATAAAATCAAAACATCTAGCCAGAGTTGATTCCCAAACTATCCGAAAAACGTTCAAAGTACAATAGTACTCCCGATTACCTAATTTATTTATTTTTTTCGTATAATAGACTAATATAGAAAGGAAACTGGAAAAGTGGAAAACAACACGCTGCCATATTAGGTAATTAATTAAATTATTTGTTGAAACTTACCGACACTGCCACTTTCAACTTTATCTATTCTTTTATTTTTATTTTATTTTATTTTGTGAATTTTGTATTATTTGGATTACAACTTACTTTTAGTTTAGTTGAATATTATATTATTTTAGACTACTAAGTTAATTTTTTTTATAATTTATGTTACACTTCAATATAATTGATATAAATATATATTTCAAATGACAATTATTTGTTTTTAATTGAATTGTATTTTATATTTTAAATAAATTGAAAATAAAATGACAACTCCGATCCTTCTGTTGCAAATACATAGTAAATTTAGTCCCTTAGTTATATAAGGCACCACATTTAATCTTTAAGTTGTCAATATTGTGGTAGAATAATTAGTCTTTGTGACAAAAAACAATAACTTTGATTGTTAAATGTTCAAAATTTTAACTTCTCAAGATTATTTTTGTAATTGTTTGCAACATTTATCTTTATATATTTAGCAATTTACTCTCCCCTCTATTCTCTAAATTGCGAAATTAATTTTATTAGGAAGAAGAATACTTCAAATTTACAAAAAATAACTTTAAAATGTTAAAGTTCTAAACATTTAATAATCAACACTAACATCTATATTATCTAAGACTAAGAACCAATTCTACCATAATTTTGACAAATCAAGGACCATAAATTTATATATATATATATATATATATATATATATATATATATATATATATATATATATATATATATAACACGAGATAAATTTAAAAATAGAAGAAAATATCAAAAAACTAAAATAATAAATAAATAAGTTCATTTAATTAATAATACGGAGTAATAAATAGTAGATAAAATGGGTAAAATGAGAGGTTGCATCAAACAATTGATGACACCTCTTTTGCCATCTTCTCACATGTTCCACGCCTATTCATCAGTCATGATCTCAAAATTATGCACCCTTATCATGATCTCATAATTATGCGTCAGTCAATCATATACTATACCTTAATAAAAAAAATTAAAAAAAAAAAAAAAAGAGAAGAAGATATGTTCAGAATTTGTAATTGAGATTAAAATAACACAAAAACATGGCGGCCCACTTTATTCAGTACCATGTTCAGTTATACAAATATACAAATGCACACCAACAAAATATGTACAAATTATGTACGCATCACTAGAATGTATCATTAGGTATGAATAAAAGCACCACACAGTATTCGAAAATACACTATTAGGGATGGTGAGTTATATGGTGTATTTTTTGGATGTGTTGTGTGTTTTTTTTTTTGGTGTATTTGTGCAAAATAGCTTGTACTTTTAAATTTACAATGTGTTTGTTACCCAAACAATATTTTTTTGGAGGAATTATAGACAGTCATGTTTTACCCGCTCAAACATCCATCTTAATCTTGCAATTAAGATGAATCCCTATTACATACGGAGTATTATTTTTAGTAGTGCACAGATATAGTATATTAAAAAGAAATATATATCAGGATTTACCTTATAAGATGGTCTCGAGTATCACCATACAATTTGTCAATTAAAATAGAAAATAAAAGAAATGTATAAGGCTATCATTAACCTTGAAATTGTGCCTCTTTTAAGCTGAGGTGACAATGAATAAAATATTTATTTTTATTTCCATGTACTGTAAGATTGCTATTTTTGCAAGCTTGCAATACAACTTTATATATATATATATATATATATATATATATATATATATATATATATATATATATATATATATATATATATATATATATAGAATGCTTCAGGTGCAGGTTAGGTTTCCCGTGTCGTTGTGCGGCTGGCGGATCTTAAGCATTAAAATGACGCACCTTAAGTACACAAACCACCACGCACCTTAAGCATTACATACACAATCAAAGCACCCTAAGAACACAAACCACTCACTTAAGTACACAAACCACGCACCTTAAGTTTCAATAAATATTCACAGTAAGCACACAAACTCACGCACCTTAAGCACAAAATTCACGCTTCTTAAAAAGGAAAACCACGCACATTAAGTTTCAACAAATACTCACGGTAAGCACACAACTCACGCACTTTAAAAGTGGGAGAGTATTTCAGGAATGGGGTCGGTTAGCCTAATAATAGGCATCTCGAAAATATCAATATTGTTTATCGGGGTGAATCTTGTATTTATAAGGACCCATACATAGCTTGCTCAATAGAGCTTCCCAGGCTACACAAAGAAAATGACAAAAGATATGAAACTTAGCATTGTTCTCTGCCTTCTCATTTTCCTCACCAAGTTTGAGTTCATTTGCAGCCATGAACAGAAAGAGCAGGACAAAGTGTCTGCTCTGCCTGGCCAAAACTTTTTAGTGAACTTCTCGCACTACGCCGGATACGTTACAGTGAATGAGGAACAGGGAAAGGAATTCTTCTACTGGTTCATCCAGGCTTCTCAGGATCCATCTTCCAAGCCTCTTGCTCTCTGGCTTAATGGAGGTATATATGTTAACTACAGACACAAAATATGTTAACTGTATACAGTTAACACATTATGTATCAGATAGTTAACATATTATGTGTTTGTAATTTGTTTACAGACACATAATTTATTAACTGCAGAAACATAATATATGTTAACTGTAAATACATAATCTAAATGTTATTTTTTGGAGCTAGTTGATCATATAATTTGCGTACTAAAAATGAACCTCGGAGTGCAAAATTTAATTTGATATAATAATGTTGGATCACATTACATGTTGTAGGTCCTGGATGCTCGGCAATTGCATTTGGGGAGGCAGAAGAAATTGGACCTTTTCACATTAATCCAGATGGGAAGTCAGTATATCTCAACTCATACGCTTGGAACCAAGGTATATATTTTTAGTTAACAACAATACGTTAAATTGGAAGTATTTTGTACAATTTTGATAAATTTTTTGGTCAATCAAATTAAACTTTGTTTAAAAGATATTTAAAATTCCACAAATGAAAATATTATTTTTATCAATTTTTACAAAATATTTTATTCAACGATGTGACATGTAGTGTAAGTTGTGATATGAGTCGCAATTATATTCATTGACTACTCAAGAATTGATCAACTATTTCAGGAGTTAATTATGCATGTAAAGTCATGTCACATAGTTCAAGGTTTGATAAAAGGGAAAAGGGTCAAATAGTCCCTCGAACTTTAGCTTAAAAGTCAATTAAACGCCTAAATTTTTTAAAGGTGCAGTTACACCCATCAACAATTCATTAAGGTGCAATGAAGCCCAAAAACAAGTTAATGACTTGCTATCACAGGTCATTAGGGTTCAGGCCACCTTCCGGCAAAAAAAAAAGTGACCAGCAATCGATACAGATTTGTCGAAAATTTCGCCGGTCACTTTTTTGTCAGAAATTTCACCGGCCACTTTTTTTTTTTTTTTTTTTGCCAGAAAATTCGCCAGAAGGGGGCCTGAACCCTAATGACCTGTGATAGCAGGTCATTAATTTATTTTTGGGCTTCATTGCACTTAAATGAATTGTTGAGGGGTGTAATTGCACCTTTAAAAAGTTTAAGGACCTAATTGACTTTTAAGCTAAAGTTCGAGGATCTATTTGACCATTTTCCCTTGATAAAATTTGAACTCATAACGTATTATATATATATATATATATATATATATATATATATATATATATATATATATATAGTTATATAGTTATAGTTATAGTTATCTAATTACAATACTATTTGACAGTTGCAAATATAATATTTCTGGATTCACCTGCTGGTGTTGGCTTTTCATATGCCAATTCATCTTTTGACCTTTCAAACCAAGGAGATCAAAGCACAGGTACTTCATATTTCAAACCTTTTTTGTGGTCATAAGCACTATTGTAAAAATCAACCTAGGCGTCCTTAGGGCAAGGCAAATTACCCCCTAAGCGCCTAATTCGATCGACTCGGTCGAGTTAGCCGAGTTAACTCGGCCTAGTTAGCGTTGTTACTTTTTAAAATTTTATATTATATATATAATGTGACATAGACCCACACATGTGCACTGTTCTTTGTTTTAGTTTGTCGCCTAAGCATTAGGTGCTACTTTTTCGCCCGACTAGCGGCCTAATGCCTACTGCAACCAGGTCATAAGTACGCTAGATCTAAGAAGTAGTCTAGCGTTGACTAAGGCTAGGCTCTCTATCAAACGACGTTAGATCGAGTCTAAATTCTTTTTAGCGGTTTTAGCGCCAGTATATATATACTATTGCCTTATTTATTACGGAGTAGTAAAATGTATAATATATATACCTGCCATAGTTGGTTGTATAATTGAGTGATGATAATAAATATATTGTCTACATCTTCATTAATGCAGCGGAGGACAATCTAAATTTTTTATTGAAGTGGCTTGAGAGATTTCCTGAATATAAGCAAAGAGAGTTTTACATCCTTGGAGAGAGTTATGCAGGTAATCTATGTGCAAATTATATAAACATGGATATTTACATGATCTAGTAGAATGTATACTTGATAAGGTTTGAGGGTTTCATGTTGTGGGCACTCTTGGTAAACTATTGTACTACTAATATAGGGCAATCATAACCAATTGGTTAGACAATTGATTCAGTAACCATAAGATTTCAAGTTTGACTCCTTATGAGAGCTGTTTGTTGGTCTTCTTAATTGGTTTAAACTAGTCAGCTATAAACAATCTAGGTTCGTTAATTTACATCTTTGTGGACATTTGCTGGCTAAAGTCACAAAACAGACTATTATTTTATATTTACTCTTAAAATATAATGTTGTAATTATTTGTCATATTGTGATGGGCTACATGAGGTTTTTTTTTTTTTTTTTTTTTAAATATTTATATAACAAAAAATTTTAAAATAGTTAATTGAAGTTGTTGGATCATATAGCATATTTTGTGAAAATTGTGTTTCAGGACATTTTGTTCCACAGTTAAGCAAAGCCATCTCAGAATACAACTCTGAAAATGAAGACAACTCCATCAACTTGAAGGGCTTTATGGTATGCATGTCTTTCTCTTCCTAGAACCTAAATTAATTATGCATTTAATTATCGAATTTTAAATTAGACAGAACCTGAACGCTTTAAATATTTATCAATCTTGTAGTTAAATTTTCCATTAATCACTGCTGGAAATTATGGAATTTCCGACTACCTGAAAGTGATCTTAAATCAAGTTGAAAGCAAAAAGTGGTCGGAAATAGCAACAACCGGATACCAAAAGTGGTCGGAACGAAGCTTTCGACTTGCTTTAAGATCACTTTTAGGTGGTCAGAAATTCCATAATTTCCAGCAGTGAATTTTAAATTTTAAAATTTTCAAACACAACCAAATTTGAAAAGTATTTTTGTAAAAATAACAATACTACATTACAAGAAAAATTAAATTTATTAACACAAAATCGGTAAGTAAAAGTAAAATTAATGAAATAAGTATTTTAGTTTTTTCTTGTAGCGATAATAATATAATGAATGTGTGTATACATTGCATATATATATATATGCAGATTGGGAACCCCTTGGTTGATGATCACAATGATCAAGTTGGAATATTCCAGTTCATGTGGACACTCGGTTTGATTTCCGACCAATCCTATGAGATGTTAAACCTCTATTGTGCCAATGATTCATACCTTAATGCCTCCGAGGAGTGTAACAATGCTCACAGTGGTGCTGCCCAAGAAATTGGAGATATTGATTACTACAGTCTCTTTACTCCTGTCTGCACTTCTACCACTCTTGCAGCCAGAAATTGGCTCACCCAAACATGGCTAGTAAGCTTTTAATCTCTACTTAAGATTTTTTCTACCGTGTTAATCGACGGTGCATATAGTATCAGGTACAATTTTTATAAGTCGTGCGCAAAAACCATGACCTTTGGTCTGGCTATGATATCAAATTGAAGCATGTGCTCCATCTCGACTAAAAACCTAAGCTGATAGTTGAATTGCACGTTAATGGCTATATGCTCAACATGTTAAGAGTCTCACATTAAAAAATAAGACTGAAGCATATGAGTTTATAATGTCATGAGTTAATTAGACTAGTTATCCGATTATATTTAAGTATTATAGCCTACTTGAGTGACATTGGCCCAATTGTAGATTATAACACAGTATCAGAACTTGTTGTTGTTCGCTCCATCCAATTGTCCGTGGTATTAGTGGCGTTTGCTGTCCACTTGTCCAATTTTAAATTATAACATATTCATATATATTATGACAGAGAAAGAGTAGAGTTTCAAGGGAGTATGATCCATGTACTGAAAAGTATGCAATCTCTTACTTCAATCAACTCTCAGTTCAAAAGGCTCTTCACGTTAGAGGCGCACCTATCAACTGGGAGACCTGCAGGTATGGTAGTGCCTCTATTTTTTTATTTATTTTTTTTGAATGCTACTAGCTCTATTACAATGTAGTATCTGTTCATATACTTTCTCAACTTACTAAAACACAAAAAGCTAATAACGCCTCCACTAAGGCTTGAACTCACAACCTTCCAAATGGAAGATACCATTAGACCACATAGTCTTGGTGCCTCTATTATTTAATTTCCCTTCAATTAATTACCTTTGAATGTACCAGGACTATGTGGTCCAATGGTACCCGGGTTGGACTTCCATTTGGAAGGTTGTGAGTTCGAGCCTCAATGGAGGTGTTATTAGCTCTTTGTGTTTCAGTAGGTTGAGAAAGTATATGAACATACTACAATGTAATAGAGCTAGTAGCATTCAAAAAAAAAAATAAAAAAAAAAAATTACCTTTGAATGTTTTCAAAAAAAAAAAAATTACCTTTGAATGTTGGATTATGATGTTAACAACTATTTTTTATTTTCTTTGACTAAATAATCAATCATTTAATTTAGAGTTATTACCCAAAATAGTCCCTCGACTATGTCGTAATTACCAATTTGGTCCTCAACTATCATTTTTACCCAATTAAGTCCTCAACTATACAATTTTTACCCAATTTAGTCCTTTGTCAATTTGACTGTTTGTTGACTGTCAAAAGTGGAAATAAAGTTGTAATTTTACAAGTTTTCTCCTTCCTCCTCATTTAGCCGCGCCAAACCATTTAGCAATAAGCTCCGGTTGGGTTCTAAACCTGTCAGTATCGAAGTAGTAGTTATGCATCGGATAACCCATGAGTGTATTACTGCATGATTTGGCGCTGCTAAATGGAGAGGAAGGAGAAATCTTGTAAAATTATAATTTTATCGCGACTTTTGACAGTCAACAAACAGTCAAATTAATACAGAGGACTAAATTTGGTAAGAATTGTATAGTTGAAGACTAAATTGGGTAAGAATTGTATAGTTGAGGACTTAATTGAGTAAAAGTTACATAGTTGAGGACTTAATTAGGTAAGAATGGTAGTTGAGTACCAAATTGGTAATTATGGCATAGTCGAGGGACCATTTTGGGTATTAACTCTTTAATTTAACTTGAAGTAATAAAATGACCCCAAAAAAAAAAAAAAAAACTTATGTAAGAAATTAAGTGCACAATATTAACAATAGTTAGTCTACAACCAATTTTAATTTATTTGACCATTATTAGTTATCTGACTTAGTTAAACAATCAATATGAGTTATTTGATTAATTAGCTTTTTGTAACAATTTATTGCTCCAAAATGCTAAAATTCAAAAAGCTACTCAAAGTAGCTTTTTTGATCGACTTTTTAAAAAAGTCATTTGTATGTAATCAGCTAACAGCTAACAGCTAATTTACCAAATATTTTTCTACAATCAGCTAATGCTATGAACTAGACAAACCCACTAACCCAATCAGCTAACAACCATTTACCAAGAACCTCATTATATAAAACTGGAAAAGATGATTTGACATTATTAATTTATTATATATATATTGTGTTTTGCAGTAATGAAGTACACTATAAGTGGAAGGATTCAGCTGGATCGGTGCTGCCAACCATCAAAGAACTTACTGGCATTCGCAAATGGGTGGTCAGGTAACTCTACAAACCTCCTTAATCTTCATTGGGTTATGCAATTTTATGTCTACCAAATTAAAAATCATTATATTGTCATTAATCGTGATTGTGAATACTAAAAATTAAAAAAAAAAAAAAAAAATCCATCTCCTTTGTAGATAATCTATACTAAGAGTTCTATCACCTACTTTCTACCTGATTTTTGTAGCACTTCTAAACGGAAGGTCACAAATTTAAGGGGGCGTTTGGTTCAGGTCATCTTAGATTACCTAGGTAATCTGAGTTTGGTAATGTTATATTACCTTGTTTGGTTCAAGTTATAAGATTACCTGGTAATGTTACATTACCTGAAAGCTGATGTGGCGGTAATGTTTCAAGGTAATGTGATTACCCCCATTTTTTTAGGTAATCTTAGATTATCTTGAATTATTCCAACTTTGCCATTGTTAACTAATCCTTATATAATAATAATAATAATAATAATAATAATAATAATAATAATAATAATAATAATAATAATGAAATTAATATATGTTTATATAATCAAATATACATATGTATATTTATATATTTAGTTTTTTTAATATTTAAGCATTGATATACATTCATACATATAAATAAATACACACATTATATATATATATATATATATATATATATATATATATATATATATATATATATATATATATATATATATATATATATATTATTGAGGACATTATTGTAAATTGATCCATATAATCTAAAATATAACCTTGAACCAAACAAGGTAATATTATATTACACCATCCAAACCAAACACACAAGGTAATCTTACATTCCCTACATCTCACATTACCTTCTTGGAGGTAATCCTATTACCTGGGGTAATCCAAGATTCCGTGAACCAAACGCCCCCTAAGTGTCATCTCAATTAAAAATGTTAGCATATCATATTCTTAAACAAATACTACGGATAAGTTAGATTGTAGTCACTAACAAAATGATAAACTAAAACTGAAACCTTTTAAGAAGGTTTCGTTTTGAACCTCTGGTTCAAACCCTTTTTTAAATTAAAAATCAAGATTTTCTATTTTATATATATATATATATATATATATATATATATATATATATATATATATATATATATATATATATTTGGGTTCGAAATCGAAACCGACTAGTTTTATACCAGAACCGACAATTTCAATTCCCAATTTTAATGAACCAAAACCTAAACTTCAGATCCTACAATATTCGGTTCGATTCGAATCGAACCATGGTTAGAGCACACCCCTTCTAAATGCACCTTAAGGTGTTGATTACTTTTATACATTTTTTTTTATTTAAAAAAAATTATTTTATTCACTTTTTAAATTTCCAAAAATGCTTGCAGTGGTGATACAGATGCTGTGATCCCAATCACCTCCACACGATACAGCATAAATGCTCTTCATCTTCCCACCGTTGGGCCTTGGAGAGCTTGGGATGATGATGGCCAGGTAAAATATAATTAACTCTCATCATCTTTTTATTCACACAATTTTTCCTATTAGTAAAGATAATGTCACTTTTTTAAAAGTGTATCCATGTCATTTAAAAAGAAAAAAGGTAAATATGGAAAAGTAAAATGTTAATGGTATTTAAATCAGAAAAGTGGACAGCATTTTATTAGAACAATTAAAGTATATATTGAAGGCTCGGAGTCTAGTCCGGAAGCTGATACCTTAATACTTGATTGCAAAGATCTGATGACAAGGTTCCAAGATTGTCGCCTTATCTACGTCTTAAGAGAAGGGAACCAGTGTGCAGATTTTCTGGCCAATCTGGGTCAGAATAATTCTTGGGGGACTACAGTTTGGGATCATCTGCCTAATGGGTTGCAAAATCTCCTGGTTCGAGACAGCACTCGGTGGCCACTAGAAGGATCTCTTAACGTTCTGGGGCTCTAAGCTCCTCTTCTCACCCAAAAAAAAAAAAAAAAAAAAAAAATATATATATATATATATATATATATATATATATATATATATATATATATATATATATACACGTTTAAGAGAAAAGTGAGAAACCAATTAAGCGTTTTTGGAGAGCTTCGAACTATGGCTGGGTGCTAGACTGGGTCTCCCGTAACCTGGTTTTAATACCACTTGTTATGATCAAACGCTAATCACTATACCAAAAGTTATAGCTCATAGCGAAGGCACAACTTTATTTCCTTAATTATGCCGTCACATTTTCGAGGGGCAGGGTGGTGGGCTTGACCCTTCACCAGCCTCCATTGAATAATATGATTGTGTGATGTGTTAAAATTGGTAGTGCAGGTAGGAGGGTGGACACAACAGTATGAAGGACTGACCTTTGTGACAGTGAGAGGGGGAGGCCATGAAGTTCCTCTGCACAAACCAAAGCAGGCTCTTGCAATCTTTAAATCCTTCTTGGCTGGGGAACAAATGCCATCTTTTCAGCAACTCAGTAAAGACATCTAAAATTTCAGGGGGGGGGGGGGGGGGGGGGGTGTTGAAGCTTAATATGATTAAAATAAAACATGTTTCTCCAATAAATATGTTGTTAAATTATCATGTATAATAAGTGTTTTTGCAGACAATGAATGATCATGTTCAAGTCTAATAAAAAGTTTCTACTCTAAGAAACTTGGGGTATTGTTATGTCTAAATTCTCTCGATTTACTTTCTCCGTCAGTGTAACGAAGCCCTACTCATTAACATTCCTATAATCAAATAAAGGATATAAATAGATTTCTTAATATAATTACAATGTGCACAAAAAGTCAATATGTTTAGATAACATATATTTGTAACAACAGAAACAAGTGGTCCCCATGTTTAGCTAACACATATTTTATACACTAAAAATCAATAAAGACAATTGATCCTTGTTTAATTTAAGTCTAATAACGTAACTTGAATAAGGCCAGTGTTGGTAGCAACAACAAAAATTATATACACATTAATTAGCCAAGCACCTTGTGCTCAGATGGCATGTAATGACCTCTCTCATGTGGGAGGTCATGAGATCGAGTCTGATGGTGTTGACTTTTTGTGCTTCATTAGATTAAGAAAGTTTATTTAAATATAAATACTACAATGTAATATAGTCAATAGCATTAAAAAAAATAAAAATTCTTCCGACAATCATTATTGTAAAATAATGTACATTCAGTATATTAAAAATGTACTTTTTTATAGTACATACAACACTGTATGGACCATAGTCCACACAATAAATTGCCCCTTACCACTTGAACATCATGGGCCGTGCCGCACGGCCCATTACACTACATCGTCAACTGGAAGTGCCCTATAGGCTGTGACAGCAAATTATGCTGTGGAACCGTACCCACCCAATCGTTATGCGTTGGACCCGTGTCCAGCATGCTTGCTGGACATGGGTAACAGTGTCGTTAGGCATTGTTATCTCCTTTTTTTTTTTTTTTTTTTTTTTTAATATCAGATCGCTTTGTTATAGGAGTATATATTCATAATTTTATTACTATATTATTAATAACTGTACATTCATAACTCCATAATTGTACGTTCATAACTCTATAACTGTACATTCATAACTCCATAATTGTACATTCATAACTCCATAATTGTACATTCATAATTTTCGAAGCTCTATGTTCACAATTTTAGAGCTCTATGTTCATAATTTTATCACTATATGTTCATAATTGTAAGTTCATAATGTTAGAGCTCTTTGTTCATAATTCGATCAATAACTGTACATTCATAATTCCATAACTGTAGATTCATAATCTCATAACTGTAGATTCATAACTCCATAACTGTACATTCATAATCTTCGAAGCTCTATATTCACAATTTTAAAGCTCCATGGTCATAATTTTATCACTATATATGTTCATAATTGTAAGTTCATAATGTTAGAGCTCTGTGTTCATAATTTCATAATTGCATAACTGTACATTCATAACGGCATAACTGTACATTCATAACGGCATAACTGTACATTCATAATCCAAAAAAAAAAATAACGCCGTTAACGGCAAAACGCACGCGATTTTTTTTTTAACTAAATGACGCGTTTTTTTTTTTAAAAACGACGTCGTTTTGGGCCCGTATCCACAATTCACTGTGGACACGGGTCCAGGGCATAATTTGTCGTACCCACCTTGCAAGGTGGGCACAGTTCCACAACAGTGTCATTTTCTACCATCGTTGTAATTTTTTTAAAAAAAAATTGTTTTTCACTTGCCGTTAACGGCATTTCTCTCTTCGCAATCGCACAATTTAAAAATTATGAGTCTACTGTATTTAAATTAAGAATCTACAGTATTAAGTTTGTGAACATGTGATAGAGCTATATGTTCATAATTTTATAAATATATGTTCATAATTATAAAACTATATGTTCATAATTATAAAGCTTCAGTATATATGTAGAATCAAGATCATATAAGAACTAATAGCCTCGCAAGAACATACAAACTAATCTCATCTATCTATTTAAAATGATATAACTTATATGTTGTGACAAGAATAATGCCAGTGAAATAATACATAGAGCTGGCATAACAATGACAACACATCAACAATATCTAACAAAACAAAAGTACTTTATTTTGAAAAACAAGTTCAAAAATATCATTTTTTTGGGGTACACAAAATTAATTTCGAAACCTTGTGTAAAGAATTCCAAATCTATGCCATTGGACTCCAAAGGCTAAAAATATCATATTTTGAAAAGGAATCCCTCCTCATCTTCAGAGCTATAACACACTTGAGTAATTATTAGTTGTTAACCATAGTCTCATCATTGCTCGATTGAAAACGATCCCAACAAAAGATCAAATATCAAATCTAAAATCGAAGTGAAAGCTACAAAGTCACAAGAAGAGTAGAACTTTGAAGATCCTATGAAGGGCAGGAGGAAAGCCATTTTCGTCATCATTCCTTTGCTACATCTACTTGATTGTCATTAAAGTAATCATTCCTGAAAATGCATAACACGCCGGGTACAATCTTGATTATGTTCATAAATACACAGTGATTATGAATACTTATATCAGTTTATTTTTTGTTCTTCGTTAGAGGTAGAGCTAAAATAATTTCCACTTCCAAAGCTGAAAAACATCGGTATCAAGCAATCAAAGATACAAAACTGAAAAAGAATTAAGCATACCGAATTTTTCGGGTAAGTTGGTAGATGCCTGTACCAGCCATGGCCACGTTTACACTGAATAGGTTCCAGTTCTTCTGCAATGCAGAATAAATAATTTGGAAGGCCAAATGATCAGAACACTTGAATAGATAATACACAAAAGAGGAAAAGCTGTTGTAACTATGCAATAACTGATGTTAAATACAAGTTTATTGGTCCATGTAGCCCAATTCAAGTTGAAACATATATGCAGATGTACCAAAAAAGTGCTAAGGTAGCAGCACGTGTCCATAGAATTATGTATAATACAACCTAGTGTGGTCAACTAGTATTAGAAAAAAATCAATGCAAATCACTCGGGTGGAAATGTGGAATGAGCAAGTAGTCTATAACTCAATATATCATATATAGATCAGCTACCAACGTGAGAATGTGAATCATTGTGCAGCTAGATAAAAAAAAAACAAGCTAATCAAGAAGCAATGCCATGATGGGAATGAAATTGATAATATTGCTGAGGTTTGCATTTTCAAAACTAGGGAATCCTCTTCTTGAGGTGGTGTGAAGTGTAGGGCACAAGTGCACCCCGAGAATATTAGAGGGGGAAAGAACCCTTGCAACAAATTTTCCAACAATGCTGGCTGGAGAAGGACCGAGTGGGGCCTATATGATCCACCTAGTTCATTTACAAATAGTCAACCCTTGAAATTCTCTAGATCTGACACAGGTAAAGGGTAGGGTACAAAAGTCACCAACCAAACGCCACCTAAGTTAAATTATGTATTGCCCAAAAAATGTCATACAATACCTAATGCTTTGGGAGTTAATTAGGTACGTTACTGTTACGTTACTGTTACTGTTACTGTTACTATTACTGTTACTATTACTATTACTATTACTATTACTATTACTATTATAGTAGTAGTGGTGGGATGACCACTATTGTAATAGTAGTAGTGGGATGACCACTTCCTAGGTAGTTAGATGTAGTGGGTAGTTTTTATCTTCTATAAATAAATGCCTAGGTATTTGAAGAAGGGATATCTAGGAAATTTGTATTTTGGGCTTCCTATTGAATGGAAGATTGGGGGAGAAGAAGCACTCCACAAAAACGCTTCATTTGGGGAGAAGAAGCACTCCAGAAAAGCTTCGTTTTTTATTCCTAAGTTTCTAAGCCTGTGACGCGATCCTAATATCTCGGTGCCTATAACAGTTACCCAAAATAATATGATAAATTCCTAAAAAAAGGAAAAATCAAAAGTATGTTTCCAGTGAAAGAACTATTTTGTTCTATAGCAACATTTTTGTTAATAGCATTTCTCTTTTTTCTCTACAGGTGCATCCATATTAAGGAGCAAATCAATAATGTGAAAACTATGTTTCTGGGAGTACACACTCATAAACTCACAGAACCACATTAAAAAAAAGGGCTTGTAAATCTTGCACTCTGTTGTTTTCATTGAACAGACAACACAACCCCCTTCCCACAATCCCACCACCCCACAGGTCAGTTTCCCCACCTAACCGTTAAGAAGAAATGGATAACCTGAAGGTAATAAGATTTTTCAGTTTGGCTGGAGTTATATAAAATGCATGATAACTACCTACAAAATTATGGATAATTTTTCATTTGTGCAAAATCAGAGAAATCATTCTAACCAAGAACTGCTTGTGGATATTTCGGCAAGCATTCTTTGTTTTAAGAAATTCATTACACATACAGGTGTAGACAAGTTTAACTGTTAGGAAATTATTACCTCAAGTTTAAAACGCAAATTATTTACATGACAGGTACTTACTTGCAGCAAATACATACACAAAAAAAGGGAAAAATAATTGGTGCCTGATTATTTGAAGGTTAACAGCTTAACAACCAAAGTACATTATGTAAACTAGACAGTTAGTAGTTTATATCATACAAATTAAAGAAGGAAAAGAGCATTCAATTTTAATGGAAAGTAGTCCTAATTCAAAAGCCAGTGCACTTACCGGAGTAATTACAGTGCTATAGCGTGACCAGATGACCCCAGTGGCTGTAACCGCTGCATAGTTGATGACAGCAATAGGCAAAAATATTATATTATACTATAGTAATGCAAGGGGAAAAAAAATTTGCTGATACCACAAGTTGGATTGCTCATGTATCCATGAGTAAAGAATCCTATTTTACTCATGGAGAGTCATTTTCTAAACTTAAATAGCAAATTCGCAATAGCTAGATCAAATAATTGTACAATAAGAGAGACACACCTATCTGTTGAGGATATGATAGTTTTTCAGGAGGCTTGGCAAAGTCAGCAATATTGGCTATACTAATTCCCCACTTGAAGGTAGGTGCCCAAAAATGAACTAGAACAACAAAAGAACCAAAGAGAAGTGTGATTCAGCAGCAGGCATTCCAGGCAACACTAATGAAAGATGCCAATATATCAGAAAACAGAATAAATAAATGCTTCAAATTTGTTTATTCTCAATAGTTCACTTTATTACGGCATTACCAAGGATTGCACAAGTAGCAAGAGTTTTAGAAACATGGTTTTGTGAAATTCCTATACAAGGAGTTATGGTATCAAATCCAAACAATTAAATGAAACCTCTTCTACCTATAACCCAGCTCCCAAAGCTAAGATTTTAGCTTCCCATTCATTTCTGATAAGCAAAGCCTCTGGTTGGTTATGATTAGCTATTTGATCATCAGGAAACAAAGAACATTCAAGCCATGATAGCATCTCTCCCACTCTCCCCCTATCAACACAACAAAGACGTATTATATCTAGTTAAGCCCCAGGGGAATGTTCCTCATTATAACTTTCATCAAGTTCGAACTAAATATTTAATATCTTAATCTTCATCATGTTTGAATTAAATGTTCACCACATCATGATTCCTAGCTCGAATCGAGTTTCCAAACATTTCAATTGTTTTTCTGTTTTCATTTCAAACCCTCTCAAAAATCCGCGCAATTAAAATTCGTTTGTATACGACGATTAATCTGGGTCCTAATATATCTCCTCTCAGTGAAAATACAACAAATCAAAAGAAAAATACTCTCTTCTCATTTTGCAAAAGAGGGGGAAATAAAATCAATTTCGATTTTCTTTATAGAAAAAATATAACAAAATAGAGTCCGAATCTAACGCAAGAATCAAGGCGTCGACGATGACAGAAAAAATTGAAAAGAAAAGTCAGAACTGACTGGTTTTAGGGCCAGCGGGATGATTCCACAGAGCTTGGAGCTTCGAGGTTGCCATCGAAATGAAGCGAAGCTTTTCTCAAAAATAGATGTCCTTTGGCGCAAACAAAACTGCGGAACTGGGAAGTCGTATAGTTATACTCCGCATAAATTTTAACTGTCTTTTTTTTTTTTTTTTTTTTTTTTAAGTGTATTAATAATATCTGTTCTATATATTTTTTTTTTATTTGTTGTAGTCCAAAAGAGTAAATAGCTAGGAGATTGGCTAATTTGTTATACAAATTTATGAATACGGATAAAAGTTAAATTATTCTTGCCTATGATATTTTCAGGCAAGAAATTTTGTGAGACATATTATTCAGTTTCTTTTTATATATATTGTAGTTTTATTTCAACAAAATTAAAATATCATTTCAATATGTTAGAAATGTTACAGTTTCATTTCATACATATTGCTGTTTCATTTCAATACAAATAAAATATCATTTTTCAATTCAATTATAATTTCATTTGATAATGTATGCGAGACAAATTATTCAGTTTCATTTTATATATACTGTAGTTTCATTTTGTTATAAATATACAAAAAATACAAAATCTGTTACAATTTAACAGTGGTCGTTTATTTATTTAAAGAAATGGTGATATTTTCAAACCATGATCCACCATATAACAACCGCAAGAAACATAGATGTTGTGGATCAATCGTTATGCTGTGCATCCGTATGCACCATGCATGGTGCATACGGATGCCAAAACGACGTCGTTTTATTAAAAAACGCGCGTATCCCCTTTAAAAAAAATCCAGGTTCGATTCCCAGCAACAACATTATATTGTTCATTCATTCTGAAATTTTAGTTCATAGATTATGGAATTATAGTTCATTGATTATGGAATTATAGTCCATCGATTATGGAATTGTAGTTCATCGATTCTGAAATTTTAGTTTATAGATTATGGAATTTTAGTTCATTCATTCTGAAATTTTTAGTTCATAGATTAGATTATGGAATTATAGTTCATCGATTATGGAATTATAGTTTATCGATTATGGAATTATAGTTCATCGATTATGGAATTTTAGTTCATATGTTGTTGCTGAGAATCGAACTTTTTTTTTTTAAGGGGAGACGCGCGTTTTATTAAAACGACGTCGTTTTTGCATCCGTATGCACCATGCATGGTGCATACGGATGCACAGCATAATTTGCCGTTGTGGATGCTTTTAAGTGATATTACAATTGCCATTTGACGTTGTGGCCCAATATAATTAATTAATTAGATTAGTGGGCCTAATTATTTTGTTGGGATGAATAATCTTGCGAATTATTTGGCCCAAATTCAATGAATGAATTGACTTGATAGAATGCTTCATGCATGTGATAGTGAGTGACTATATGTTGAATTCAATGAAATGTTAATCATGCCCAAGATTTTAGTGCTGTATTGGTGTGCCAAAATAGTCATATGTTTTGGTACTTTTGAGGATAGATAGGACTTTGATGAGGTTCAATTTAAAAGATAATGTTATATATGTATATCAAAGGTTTTGAATATAAAAGAATTGTATTATTTTTATCTCGAGAATTTTTACATGCTCCTATCTTGCTATAGTTAAGGGATCAATTTAAAAATTTACTTAGTTGGTTGTCTAATTTTTTTTATTATTATTTTTTTGCTTATTGTATGAATAAGTTAAGCCAGAAAATTATTTACCAAACATTCATTTTATATTTTGGAATAAGGGTCAAATAAGCTATTGAACTGCACACAATAATGCAATTAGGCCACTGAACCAAAAAAAATAACAATTAAGCCACTAAACTAAGCAATTTCATTCAATTATTCTAATTTACAGGTTTTGTAGGTTACTAACAGGTCACCTAAACAATTTAAAATATTTTTTTTAAAAATTATTATTTAAAAATAATAAATTAAAATTAAAATTAAAATATTTAAAAAAAAAAACTCGTCTCTGCCGGAGACGAAGAAAGTTCTTCGTCTCCGGCAATGGAGACGAAGAGCCGGCCATGGAGACGAAGATTCTCTTCGTCTCCGGCCGGGGACGAAGAGTTTCTTCGTCTCCAACCATGGAGATGAAGAAACTTTCTTCGTCCATGGCCGGAGACAAGAAACTCGTCTCCGGCGGAGACGGTTAATGTTTTTTTTTTTTTTTAATAATTTTAATTTATTATTTTTAAATAATAATTTTTTAAAAAATATTTTAAATTGTTTGGTTGACCTGTTAGTAACCTACAAAACCTGTAAACTAGAATAATTGAATGAAATTGCTTAGTTTAGTGGTCTAATTGTTGTTTTTTTTAGTTTAGTGGCCTAATTACATAATTGTGTGCAGTTTGATGGCCTATTTGACCCTTATTCCTTATATTTTTAACTATTTGATTAAATCAAACAACTAAAATTAATTGAAATAAGTCAAAAGGTGATTGATAAGCTATTTTTCAAACATTTCTTTTATTGGACTAATTTTATTAATTTTTGTATGGTTTATATAAGGGCTACTAGCACAAGCATGTACATTTTTTAAAATTTTAATGTTATATATATATATATATATATATATATATATATATATATATATATATATATATATATAAAGCCTGCGGACCAAGCTCGCGAGGCTTGTATTTTCGCGTGCAAAAAATTATAGGCTTTAACCTGTCCCACCGCGGGACAGTTTGGGATTAGCCCGCGGGCTTCGGCCCCGCAAATTATGCTGTGCAACCGAATGCACCTTGCAAGGTGCATACGGTTGCAAAACGGCGCCGTTTTGGTTAAAAAAACGCGCGTCCCACTTAAAGAAGAAATCAGGTTCGATTCCCGGCAATAGCATTTTTATATATCCAGAAATTCATAACTATATATCCACAGTAAATGAATGAAGTAAAAATCCACAATGAATGAATGAATGAACTAAATATCCACAATGAATGAACTAAATATCCATAAATTCATAACTATATATCCAGAAATTCATAACTATATATCCATAAATTCATAACTATATATCCACAGTGAATGAATGAAGTAAATATCTACAATGAATGAACTAAATATCCACAATGAATGAACTAAATATCCATAAATTCATAACTATATATCCACAAATTTATAACTATATATCCAGACATTCATAACTATATATCCACAATAATGCTATTGCCGAGAATCGAACCTGAATTATTTTTTTTTAAGTGAGACGCGCGTTTTTAATCAAAACGACGTCGTTTTGCATCGTATGCACCATGCGCATGGTACATTCGGTTGCACAACATAACTATTGCTTCGGCCCACCTTGACACTTCAATTATTATTACCAAATTAACAATCCGAACAACCTCTTAAACTCCCAATCAAAATTACATTCTTAAACTTTTAGTTGACTCTATCTTTCAATAGATATTTTTGGAGAACAGAAATGGGCTCGCTACTCCAATTCCATCTTTTGGTCCGTATGTTTTGACATTCATATTTTTGTTTGATGTTTGAGCACCTTTCTTATTTTCTTATTTTTTTCTTTTTTCTTTTTTCTTTTTTTCCATTTGCATCTTCTGTAATATTCAAGTGCAGATAACAATATTTTGTCCAACTCCTTGGTGGATTGAACAGGATGATATTTGTCTCTTTAGTAGATTGAACATGACTTAATGTTTTGTTTTTTTGTGTAAGTTATACAAAACTAACTGCCTTACCTCATTTGTAGAATGTGAAGTGTTAGTATTTTACTGTGATTAGTAACATTTCATATTTTTGTTTTGTGATTAGGTAATGTCTTGTAGCCTAGAAAATTTGAGGACTAATATTTCAAGTTTAAAAGACTTAATTGTGGGACTTTTTAATGGATTAGTTAACATACTTTTTGTGTAATATTGATTTTCGTATTCTAGTGAGTTTTGGTTGGATCTTATTTAAAACAACTATTACAAAAGAATTGTTGCATACACAAACACAATTTAACCTACTTTGACTTAATTTAAAATTGAATTTCATTTTTGGTCCTACTGTTATAGGAGCCTTTTTAATTTTAGTCTACCATAATTAATTTTGTCACATTGCGACCATTGTTATTAAAAGTGTTCTAATTTTAAGCCACGTTAAATTTTCCGTCATTTGATCATGTATTCAAGAGGTATTTTCGTCTTTCTCAGTTTATATCATATAATTTTTCCAATTAAAACATATATTTGCCGTGTTTGATTTCGAAAATCCAATCTTGACGAAATTAAATTGTAACATACATCACAAGCATTTGTCAATAATAGCTCAAATAAACAAATTTAAATATGTCAACTACCTTGTGCTCAGATGGTATATAGTGACCTCTCCCATGTAAGAGGTCATGAGATCGAGCCTTAGTAAGTGTTGTAATTAAAATATAGAGCAATCAAATTGTACTCGCACAACAGTCTGCATGTGGAAGGCGAAGTAATTTATTCTTCCCAAAAGGTTGAATCCCGAACTCCAAGCGCCCAAGGGCCCCACACAGGCGAAGTAATTTATTCTTCCCAAAAGGTTGAATCCCGAACTCCAAGCGCCCAAGGGCCCCACACACTTCCATTCCAACTGAGCTGCCTGCATATATGTCACTCCTGAATTATTGGTGGTGTAAATGTTGTCCCTCAATTTTTCAAAACGGTACATATATTGACCTCCCGTCCCGTAAGAGAGGAAAATTGAATTATTAGTGGTGTAAATGTTGTCCCTCAATTTTTCAAAACGGTACATATATTGACCTCCCG